CCACCAAGCACACCTCCACTACAATCTTAATCTTAATCTCTGATCACACATCAGCAGTGGCAACTCTAGGATATATTTTCTGAGCTTCCCAAATGAGATTTTTTTAAGAATAGGAACCTATGGATGGTCAGAAATGACACTTTCAGACTGTGACAGACAAAGAAGAAAATTCCTGAATTTTTGTATTAAAATAAATTTAAATAATTGGAACTAATACTTTCTTTTTTTTATCTGTGACTTGATGTATTATTAAATGATCTTATTAATTTAAATAAATGTTGATATTATCAGTGTGACTAAAGCAATACAGTATTAGACATCTAACCTTGTTACCTGATAAAACAGATCCAGTCATGTCATCTCGCTTGATATAAATATCAATATCATCTAGTATATTTGGAAGACTCCATTTATGAATAGGTGTAAATGGCTGAAAAAGCTAAAAAACATTTATTTACCCCATTAATTGAGAAAATTAATGGAGTAACTGGCGACTAAGTGCTATCTATATTGTATGCATTTGAAAAGTAGATTTACGTACATAAACTGATATCCAATTTTAAAATTTGAGACATATTTTGAAAATATTATTTTGATCTTAACAATTGAATTTGTTCCACAGGAACTGAATGTGTTTGAACACTGGTCATCTGGCAAACCTACTGTATTCCCATCTTTTTAATAAACATTTACTCATAATAGTGGTTGGCTGTTGAGCTAAAAGACATTTTGCAAAAAATTTTCCCTTTAATAATAATAAGAGTGCCCTAAAGCAGGAGTTCAGCTTTTAAAAATTGACTGATTAATACATTAAAAAAATTATATTCTCATATATAAATAAAAGTATTTTGAAAATCAAATATATTTATATACAATTGGATTTTTCCCTACCTTAACTTTCACTAATGGAATCAATCGAAGCTGGCTTGCCCAATCAGGTGGCCTGTAACTTAGTAGTTTATATGAATTACTCTTTGTGTGTCTGCATCTGTGATTCGTTGTTGCAAGCAGTAGATGTCTTTTGAAATGATTGATCTTCACCTGGCAAATTAGAGCCTTTACTTTGAATGCAATCATCATGACATTAACATAATTGTTAATTACCTGTTTAAAAAAGGGTTTATAAACATTTTATTAATTATTACCAAATACATTACCAAAAATCACCATCATTCTTATCACTCCAATGTACCTATTTAAGAATATAGATTTTTTTTAAATGATAAAATTTTCCATTTTTATCAAATTAAAAATATTTGAAATTCGAAATTTTGGCTGGGTCCCTAAGAACCCACGGTAGCCACAGTGCAATGCCAGTACCAACATATCTAATTCTCACGCGAGGATTGTTCAAGGAGAAGAGCAATCTGACTTCATTTAAAACCTGACTAAGGGTCTACAGTGCAAGAAGCAGGGACAATGCTCTTGACCAAATGCTGAGCTATAAATATAACTTTAAACATTTTCATGTTACTACATTAGGATAGGCCTAGACTCAGTGGCAACGCCAGAGATTTGTCGACAACCGGTCTAACGAAAGTCTGAGACAAGCAAGCGCCAATGAAGCCTCGGCCCAGAATAAAACCTCCCTTGGACCTTGTACGATGCACGAAGTGAGTTTTTATGGCTTAGAATACAGTATGACATTGGCAGTCAAAATAACAGTAATGTTATGTTATTTTTGTAGAAGTGGTTGGTGCATCGGTTGTGGCTTGGACTCCCAACCTTGAGGTGGGGGGGGGGGGGCTAGGCCCTAGAGAGACCGAGCCTTGCAAAAGTACTGTAGTACTTGGATTTGGGAGTTGAATAGCTCAGTGGTTAAGATGCTTGCCTTCTGATCCCAATGTCCTCGGTTCAATTCCTGTCACGGCAGGAATTTTTCTCCCGACCAAAAACAACTCCACTCCCTAATAAGCCTCATAAAGTGACTTAGTTTATAAAGCATCATTCTCATCCTGCAAGTGGCGAGTGTACTTGCTGTTGGATGTAAAGGAAATAAAAAAGAAAAAGAAAAGAAAAAGTAAAAAAGAAGTAGGCCCTTAAAATACGCCTTTTTCACGAATCGGTAGACATCTTGAAGTGATGAAAACATTGCGAATCAGCGGTGCGTAACCAACAGAAAAAAGATAAGCTTTTGGGCTGATTTTCTGACATCATGTTATTTAAAAAATCATAACTCCATAACGGGGCGTCGTATCCAAAAAGTGTTTCCAGGAAAGTGTTCTTAAAAGACCAGTCTACACCACTATATGATTGAAAAAAAATTGACGGGCGTCGCAAATATTGAATTTCTTATTTAATGATTTTTAACTTCCAGTGAGAATTACATAAATTAATGGTTAGTCTTTCGTCTTTAGTTTTTATTTTTGTTTAGAAAGTTAAAATAATATTTAAGGGTTATGAACTAATATGATGGTGTAGGAGCAGGCAGGTAATTGTATTATCCCCGATATTTTCACAATGATGCATTATCGATACGATACGTGATGTGATGATTTTTATGAAAACATTGCGGTACTTTAATTTAATTGAAATTGAAATTAATGACCGACAGAATGTTGATAACGACAGCAATAAAGACTACTTGGATAATTACGACGATAGTGATGATGATTGTTGGCTGATTGATAAGAGTTAATTTTACACGTCAAATACAAAACACTCATTTTAAGATTTAAAGATTGCTAGGGAAAAATCATAAAATAACACACAATACAATGGATTTATAAGGGCCGTAATACAGCAGTCTCTATACAAGGCTGTACAGGAGGTGCCACGGCCATATTCCGTGCCACAGCTCCAACTATTGTGGCTGGGGAAATCTGGACCCTCCCTTTAATTTGTCTTCTCTCCCGGTTCCACCCTCTTCCCAAGGGCGGAACCGGAGGGAGGGGGAGGTGAAGTTAGGCGACACACTCAAGTGAGCAAACTATAAGAATAAATTTCTCCAGACGCTCGGAAATGGCACTCTCATATTGTAAAAATGCTTTTGTCAAAGCAATGTTCCTCCTCAAAAATTATTCCTGACGGGAGCTATACTTCCCTATCTCAAACAACCTCCCCTCACGGGCGTCGCAAAATGTCTAATAACAATTATAAGTGGGTGGGGGTGGGGGTGGCAGCAAAGCACCACTTGCGTTACGCCACTGAGCATGGGTAGACTGTTCTAGCTGGGTAGTAAATTCCCTACCGTACTAATTCGTCTTTGGCTTTTTTTGTACACCCTGATGATATATGAAATCCTTGGAAAATCAGCGTCGGGGACATAACGTTGTGTTAGTCGTCAATCCAATAGAAAATTCAAAATTTAAAATTATAGTGGTAAAATAATCGGGCTCTCATTTCACCCACTGCTAGGTCCGCCACTGATATCGTGGGTACACTTTTGTTTTTCCTCTTATCAATTTTTTTCTCCCTCTGTTTTTTTATATTTTTCGGCG